CTACTACTACTACTACTACTACTACTACTACTACTACTACTACTACTACTACTACTACTACTACTACTACTACTACTACTACTACTACTACTACTACTACTACTACTACTACTACTACTACTACTACTACTACTACTATTGTATCTACCCGTATCTAATATCGCAGTGGCCCCCCACCCCTGCGATACCAAATGTGGCTCCTGCGGCCCAGGGCTCGTTTTCGGCCTTGTAGGGGGCTCTTTCACTTCGGAGAGCGCTCCAAGAGCAACTTCGATGCCTCCAGACGGCCCAAGAGGCTTCCAAGACGACCCAAGAGCGCTCCAGGACTGGTCAGGAGGGCTTCAAGACGGCCCAGAGGCCCTGCAGAAGGCCAAGAGTGCCCGTCCCGAGGCGCCCCCCTGGCCGCGAGACGCAGTACGGGAGGGTACACTGGGGGGCGCTCAATGTTGAAGCCGTTTTGTCCCGAGGCGCCCCCCAGCCGCGAGACGCGGTCAAGGGGGGTGCCCACAGGGCGTCCAAGGTTGAAGCCGTAGTATCCGGGGGCGCCCCCGCGGCCGCGAGACGCGGTGAAGGTGAGGTGCACTGGGGGGCGCTCAAGGTCGAAGGCGTGGTGTCCTGGACGCCCCCCCCGGCCGCTGGACGCGGTCAAGGGGCCCGGCCGCGGGCGTTGGACCGTGGGCGCTGGTAGCAGCCCATGTCCACGGCTTGGAGTTGTGGCTCTCCCCTTCGCCTCGGCCACGCTCCCGGCTCGAGGGGGAAAGCGGGAGGAAGTGTTCCCGCCTCTGCGCGAGCCAGATTTCTGGCCCGAATTGGCGTTCTTGCTTTCGCACGGGCTGCGTTCCTGTGCCCGCCTCGCGTACTCCAGCCCAGGCAGAGTTCTCGCTTCAGCGCCAGCCGCATTACCATGGACTGGCGCTCCCGCCCAGCCGCTGGTCCCATGACCGCTGAAGAAGGCTTGCAGGGTAGTTATCAATGCGGTCTATGGTTTCTCTGGGGCTCAGTTGGGGCCCCGTTGGCTTCCTGTCAGGCCTCATTTGGGCGCTTTCGGGCGATTTAGTTCTGATGTCCAGACGGAGCGAAGGCGACAACGCCACTACCAATGTAAGTCATACATCACCCTCCGCGTTTGCGCATATGAGTGAGGGGGGAGGGTGGCGCGTGCTTCCAGACATGGCCCCCAATTGCAGCCCCCACGTGTAACCCCCAATGTGTGGCGCCCACCCGTGGCCTTCAAGTTTGCTCCCGAAGTGTGTGTACGTGTCGTTTCGTATGCACGTGTTCTTATACACGCGCATGTGTGCACGCGCGAGTGTGCTTTCTAACCCTTTCGTTTCAACCGCGGTGTCATGGATTTCGCACTTGAAGTCCGAGGCTCACTAGAACCTGAGTGCGCGCGCGAAGCGCGCGAGTGGTTCTAGTTCCTGTGTCTCAGGCGGCCCCGAGCGATCGAGTGCACGGGCCCGCGCCGCGCCGAGGGGTACCTGGGCTCTCTCCGAGGAACCCCGCGGGAACGAATGCCCCGTCGCCAAGGACGACCGCGATCCTTTCGACCTCGGAGGTTCTCTTGACCAGCGCGACGACGAATGCCCGCCTGCTCGGCCAGACGTCGGCAGGGGTGCCATCGGGCAGGGGAACCCCCTCTCTCCGCCCCACGTGGCTCCAAGCGGCCCCGCGGCGCCTTCTGGTGCCTCCCCGGCGGACGGTCACCGCGACCGTCCCAGAGCTCACCCCGCAGCGGGCTCTAGCGGGCAATGGGGTTCCGCAGGTTTCGGCGGCAGCAGGCACTGCCCGGGCGCGTCGCCCACCTCGTCCACCGCCACGGGCACCAGCGGCAGCGCCGCTCCGTGTGCCCAGTCCACACTCCGGGCCTGCCCCCGCAGACCACCGGGTGCCCTGCCTTGGTGGGTGCGCTGGTGCCCCCCAGGCCTTCGCGCTCGGAACGGCACCCCCCCGGTGTGTGGTACCCGCCAGGCCGTCAGCCCACCAGCCCAACGCTGCCGTGGTCGATGCCGGACATGGAACCTCGCGCCCCACTCTGCCCGTGGCCGATCGTTCCGTCGACTGTTTGGTCGGCAGGACCGACCCGCGCGTGCTGCCCGTCGCGTTGTTCATGAAACCGATCTTTTCGGTCTCGGTGGTCACGCCCTGGCCGCCGCCGACGGCCCGCCAGCCGCGGCTGCCGTAGCGTAAAGTTTTGATGCCAGCCACGCCGTCGTCCACGCCAGGGTCCAGGCACTCGTGTAAACACAACACACCTGGCAGCACTGCCGAGGCAGCCAGCCACCCTCCGCCCGCTCCTCGTGGCGAATCGAGCCATGTGCCAGGCCGCCAGCGCCCTGGTGCATGCGCCGGGGCACTAGTGCCCTGGCGCGTTTCAGCCCGAACTTCCCTCTTACCACGATGGCGTTGCCCGGTCAGCAGTGCCTCGCCGAACGCCCTCCGCACGGGGTACCATGTCCAGGGGGGGGAGCCGTCGTCGTCTCCGTTGTCGTCGTCTTCGTCGTCAACGTCGTCGTCGTCGTCGTCGTCCTCGTCGTCGTTCTCGTCGTCGGTCGTGGTCGTCGTCTTGGTCGTTGTCGTCGTCGTCGCCGTCGTGAGTCCCCCAGAAGTCGTGGCGACGTTCGTCGCTCGGGGCTTCAGTCCTGCCCAGCCAGTAGTTCGCCTCGTCGCGCGCCGATTGTCGTCTTCTTCTCGTTCCTCGTTCTTCCCCCAGGGGAACGAAGAATGACATAAACATGCTCGGAGGTCCGCGCGGATTTCTCGGATCGGCGACTCTGGGCCCCCCCTCGCGGCGCCTCAGGCGCCGCTCCTGGCGCGCTGCGCGCGCCAGGGAGGGGGGTCCAGCGCCGCTCTGAGAAATCCGCGCGGACCTCCGAGTTTCTGTGCTTACGTCACTCCTCGTTCCCTGGTTCCACGGTGCGCCAGCCCCAGGCGCGTGGCGCACGCGCGGCGGGCCGCGCGGCGCCTGGACCGACGCTGCCCGAGTCCGCGCCGCATCTTCCTTTCTCTCTCTGTCTCCCCCCCTCTCTCTCTGTCCCTTTCGGGACTCGCATGCACGGGGATCGAGGGGCCACGATGGGCTAAGACGTGGGCTATACTGGGCTAGGCTGGGACATTCTGGGATGTACTGGGCCAGGCCTGGCAAGGATTTTTCAAGTTGCTGGAGAGGGTTGGGAATGGGCCAAGCTGGGCTTAGACTCAGTCCAACTTGGGTATCATGGGTTGAAAATTGGATGGACTGGGCTAGACGACAGGGATGGGCTGGGGTAGACTGAGCTGCTTACCTGGGCTCGACTGGATCAGGACGTGGCTAGGGTGGGAGTGCCGAGGGACAACATGCGGGCTGCGCCCAAGCAGCAGGGCCACCAGCTTGATGTGGAAGACCCTGAAGGAGCCCGGGAACGCCAGGAATTCCAGGGACTGGAATGGCACATCAAAACTGTTGCTCGTGAGAAGGCAGCGAGACTTGAAGAGGAGGTCCTTTGGGCCAGGGGGCTGAAAGACATGTAAGACGGATGCGGGCACATATGTGTATATGTATATGTACACATATATATATATATGTGTATATATACACATTATAGATAGCTATGTGTCTAGAAAGAACATGTACATATGTGTACATGTATAGAGATAGGTGTGAGTGTGTGCAGTGCGTGCTGGCGTGCACGTGCGCCCGTAGGTGAGCTTGCGAAATGTATGACCCCCTCCTCCCGCGCGCCAGGTAGAAGCGCAGGGCAACGTCGTCGAGGAACGGGCCGCCTGCCCATTCTGCTTACTGGGCAGCCATCATTTTCTGCAAATCTGCATGTGGTTCCTGGGATTACGTTCGTGCGCTGAACGCAAACAGCATTCTGCCAGGATGCTTTGAGCTTCCTTGGGTCCCGGGGAAGCTGGCAATGAAAATCCCAGGGCTTTCAAACCCTGAGGCAGTCGAGATCCGCGGGTTTCGGAGCCCGATTCTCGTGGAGGCGTCTTTTGGCCGACGTCCTGTCTTTGCGCGCCAAAGTTCGCCCCTTCGTACAGACTTCCTCAGAGATCTCCAGCGTTGATCTTGCGATCCGCCGCTGTGGATCAATTTGGGCATGGGCTCGACGCTATCTCCCAAAGACATGCCTCGTTCCGCTTGCCTCTTCCTTGCCCCCCGATCCTTCTCGTCCTCCTGCCCTTCCTTCTGCTGCCCCTCCCTCCTCCCCGCTCTCCACTTTCTCCCTCCTCTTCCCCCTCCGTCCGTCCGTCCCTCCCTCCCTGTTCCACCCTTCCTCTTCCTCCCCTCCCCTCCCCTCCCTCACTTCCTCCCTCCCTCCCTCACTCCCCCTTCCCTCCCGTGTCGGCTTAGGGCCTCCAGGGGTGGTTGGCGCGCGCGCAGC